GGTGCGAAATGGATTTCGTCCATCCCCAGTATTGCACCCTGGTCCCCCAGTAGTGCCCTGAAACCCCTTTTTTTGGCGAGGGTTCCCCTACAGAAAAAAAAGCATGGGTTACCCTCATTCTAACCTCTCTACTGGAGGACCTAGGCTATTCCTTTCGAGGCCCGGGGGAGTTTCCAGTTCGCTTGCAACAGGATTTTTCCTTCGCCGCGAAGGCCACAAGATGTCCCGGGGCGAGCCAGCGGCGAGCTTCTGAAATACCCATGGAAGCTTTCGAAGGGAGTTTCTTGACGATCGGGTTCCATTTACCGAGGACTTCTGGGAGTGCAGTGCTGAGAATGAAGAGCGCTCTGTTGAGGTTTGGGTGCCAGATCTTGACTGCAAATTGCTGGTTGGCAAGATAAACCAAGAACTGCCATGCGGTGACAACATCACAAAAAACATCCTTCAACTCGTCAGGGAGAGCTGGTGAATGAGCACACATGAGTGCGATCGAAGTGGTCCATGGTCCATTTGGGCTTCGACCTCACGTAGGCTCACGTAAGTTCACCGAAGCCTCAGGGACTCCCTTGTCACATGTCCATTGGTGGACTGCTTGCCCCGTAAGTGGATTTACTCCCAATGACATTCTCCCGGAATTCATCTATGAGGGAGATGCAACGACGAAATTCTGCATGGGCAGCAGTGACACCAGACCTGCAGTAAGAATAGGGCCCTACCACTCGAATGGAAGAGGCGCGTTTGGTTTGGTGCGGACGAGACAATTGCGGGTGTATCAAATTAGGGGAATATGCTGCATGCAGTGATGCTTGTGCTGGGGCCCGATGGCTTCTGAATGTGCGTCAATGTGCGGTAACTTTGTCAACCTCTGTGCACTTGGGCTCAAGCATCGCAGAAGACCGGAGGACCCATTTGGTCACCAAGGCCGATTCCTGTGTTGCCAAGTTACTGCGGGTAGCAGTCCATTTACTACCCTGGAAGCACTCGCGTCAAATCGCGGCATGGTTCCGCTTTGTCGCAAGTGACATGAAGTCGTAGCCAAGCCTATGGGGGATGACCGTTGCAGACAAGATGATAATCCGTGGGAAAAGCTACCCACTGTTATTTGGGGGCCCATGGAATATTGATCCAGCCCCCATATCTCTTCCAACATCAAGGCCGTATCAACTCATCCGCTTTCGGAGGGGCGGATTCGCGCCGAAAAGGGCGCCATGGCCTACATGGAGAGACGCGAAGGCCTGGAATTTTGCGCTAGGAGCGCACCTTAGCGTCTGCACCCGACAGGCGCAAGATGGTATTCCATGCAAGTCCTTTGTAGAGGGCACCAAACCAAAAGGGAGTCGCATCAAAGTCAAACTGCAATCATTTCCCTCAATTGATATGCAGGTCCATGCAATCAGGGGGATTGGATCATTTTGCGTGCTGCATGCCTCATTTGTTGTTGTCCCGTGGATTGAATGCTGACCGCTGTGCAACTTTGAGGAAGTCAGCTTGACAGGCTTGGTGTTTGTCGCAAGCTGTTGATGGAGTGGCTTGCAACTGCACTTGGGTATGGGTCAAAACTAAACCACCCCGGGAACGCAGGTTTTGGTCCATGTTTCCATTTGCCTGGGTTCCATTTTGGGTACCTATTTTTGACCCACAGCCACTGGCTTGCAACTTCACTCAACTTGAGGCGAACGTGACGCAGCCCTCTATCGACCCATTCAGATAAACAGCCACTGTCTGCCACTGCCTGCCACCAGCACCGGCACCAGTACCAACAGCGCAGCGAGCACTTGCACAGGTGACGGCACTCGCACCGTCAGCACTGGCATCAGCAGAATCAGCGGTATCAGTTTTTGCAGACTTGTGTCAGAACCACCTCTCTTGGCATCGAAGTGCAGTTATTGTCATCCGTGATCTATCTTGATGTGTGTTTGCCTTGTCATTTTACATCAACTCTGTTGTATGCGACACACACACACACACATAGTCGCATTTTTTTCCAGCTCGCAACGTGACAGCTGTGCGTCGCAAAGTTTGGCCGAGAACTGTGTATCAGGTAACCCTTTGGATTTGGAGTTGGATTTGAACCTCTGGCTTTTGTAGCGGGAAAATGGCGAACCACCCTTCCATTTCACCACCAAACCACCAATTCGGCTCCAAGCCACCAGAAAGCGAGGGACGCTGAGTGTATGTTTTGCTTGCTGGTGCGAGAGAAACAGGGGATGAGAAATGGAATCTATAAGCCATCCAACTCAGCGAGGAATGATAAATGGAATGATCCCTATAAACCATCCAGGCGGTGTCCCTTTTTCGGTGTCCAAAGCCTGTCGCAGTTGCCCAAAGCCGACCTTTTGACCTTTTGGTTTTCCAATTTTGGTCCAGTTTTAGTAGAGGTGCCAAAAGGTTAACCTTTTATTTCCAGGTCTTTTGGGCACGTGAGCCATTCCATGCAACTCATTCCCTAGCTATCGTACCGATCGCAGCTTGCCCGCGGATCGCACGAGATCGCGAGATCGCGAGGCTATCAGGCAGCCATCGAAGATCCATTGAGCTTGCTGGAGGATGACTTGCCACTTGGTGAAAGGGTGGAAGCGCCATTTGCTGAAATGCTTTTTGTTTATGGTCCCCTCTTTTTCTTGTTTTAGGGAATCGATTTGGTGGGTTTAGGTAGGTTTGGTTTAGGGTAGGTTCAGACCCTGCATCGTTTTAACATCCTCAGCATCGTTTTTTTTTTTTTTTTTTTAAACATCCTCAGCATCACCAGGTTTTGGTTTGGGCTGGGTTTAGGGTGGGTTCCAGGTTGGCTCAGGGTCGGCTCTCGATGGGAAGACCAACCCGAGACCAACCCCAAGAAGCCCCACCATAAACCAGCACTAAACCATCTGCCGCAAGCACAACCACCCCAAATTTGCAATTTGCTCTCAATCCGCCGACCCCATGCCTGGTCCAGAATGGACCATGCTTTCGGCATGGGGGCGGTGTGTTCTGTGTTGCTTTTGTTGATATGCTTTCTATAAGTTTAATGTGAATATGATTAAGTATTTGTATATATATAACCTATATGTCCCTTGGGGCGGCCCTTGGGGCTGGTTTCCACGTCGGCTGGATTTCTGGATTTCTGGATTTCTGGATTTCTGGATCTCTGGATTTCTGGAATTTTTTTCCAACCCCTCTCCCCCCCCTCCTCCCCCCCCCTCCCCCCCTCCCCCCCTTCCCCCCCCCCTCCCCTCCCCCACCTCCCCCCCCCCCCCTCCCCAGTAATCCGGCTTCTCCCAAAAATCTTCGTAATCTTCCTTCTTCCCGTATCTTCCGTAATCTTTCGGCTTCTTCCAGTAGTCTTCCGTAGTCTTCCGGCTTCTTCCGCCTTCTTCCCGTAATCTTCCGTAAGCTTTCGGCTTCTTCCAGTAGTCTTCCGTAGTCTTCCGGCTTCTTCCCGTAGTCTTCCGTAGTCTTCCGGCTTCTTCCCGAAGTCTTCCGTGGTCTTCCGCCTTCTTCCCGTACTCTTCCGTAATCTTTCGGCTTCTTCCAGTAGTCTTCCGTAGTCTTCCGGCTTCTTCCGCCTTCTTCCCGTAATCTTCCGTAAGCTTTCGGCTTCTTCCAGTAGTCTTCCGTAGTCTTCCGGCTTCTTCCCGTAGTCTTCCGTAGTCTTCCGTAGTCTTCCGAAATCTTTCAAGCTTCTTCCCGTAAATTTCCGCAATCTTTCGGCTTCTTCCCGTAGTCTTCCGTAATCCCTAGTCTTCCGATACTGTTTCGGGACCAAACAACGCGCGTGTCCTGTGCTTTCGGGCTTCTTCCCTAGGCTTCGGGTAGTCTTCCCCCACCCCTCCGCCCCCCTGTGTCTGTCTATGTCTGTCTACGTATGTCTTCGTGTCCGCGAAGACCCCCCCTGCCCCTTCATGTCTGTCTGGGTCTGTCTGCGTCTGTCTTCGTGTCCGCGAAGACCCCTTGCGTGTCTGTCTCTGTCTCTTTGTGTCTGTCTGTGTCTGTCTGTGTCTGTCTACGTATCTGCGTCTTTCTTCGTGTCCCCCCCCCCCCCGCGTGTCTGTCTGTGTATTTGTGTCTGTCTGGCTCTGTCTGCGTCTGCCTGCGCATCTGCGTCTGTCTTCGTGTCCGCGAAGACCCTCCCCCCCCGCTGCGTGTCTGTCTGCGTGTCTTTGTGTCTGTCTGTGTCTGTCTACATATCGCGTGCTTTCTCTCGTCCCGGGCCGAAATGCCGCAGGCCATTAAATAGGTTTCGAGCCCACGAGCCGACCCTGAGCCAACCTGGAACCCACCCTAAACCCAGCCTAAACCAAAACCTGGTGATGCTGAGGATGTTGAAAACGATGCTGAGGATGTTAAAACGATGCCGGGCCTGGACATCGACTACCCCAAATCTTCCCTAAACCTACCCCAAACCTTTATCCGTTAGTGTCTCCCTTCGTGCACGCCAGGCTGTGCCAGGATTTCACTACTGGACATATTTATCTTGTTTTTGTTTTTGTTTTACTGTCCCCTGTTGGTTCTAGAAGGAATCGATTTCACTACTGGACATATTTCTCTCTTATTTTTGGTTGTATTTTCCCCTCTTGATTTAAAAGGATCACTGTTTGTTTTTGTTTTCTCCCCGTGGACTTAGGCAAATGGAAGAGTATGCTTGAGAAAGTCCCCTCCCCGGGGTGATTTGGCCATGGAAGGGCTTGTCAAGATATGGGTTCCTGGTTGACCCTGGTGCCGCTTGC